CCCGCCGGAGGCTGCCGCTGGCCGACCGCTACGCGCTGCTGCATTGGCACAACCACGTGTACCCCAGGTGAGCTGGGGCCCGCGCAGGCCGCACAGCCTGGGGACCCCTGCCCCAAGGTCGCGGGGTCCCTGCCCCTCCCCTGTTAAGATCCTGAGGACCTTGGAACAGCCGACCCTTCAATTCTAGAACCTTAGCACCGTTGACCCTTCCAGTCCTGGAACCTTAGCACCATCCATCTTTCCAGTCGCAATATCTTAGCATCACTGGTCCGTCCAGTTCTAGAACTTCAGCACCATTCCAGCCCAAGAACCTCAGAATGGTCAACACGTAGCACTCTAGGAATCTTAGCGCTGCGCGCCCTTCCAGTCCTAGAATCTTAGCATCCTTGATCCTTCTAGTCCTAGAACCTTAGCCCTGCTGACCCTTCTTGTCCTAAAATCTTGGCCCTGTTGACCCTTAGTATTCTAGAACCCTTACACTGCTCTCTCTAGATCCTAGGACATTAACACTGTTGAGTCTTCCAATCTTAGATCTTTAGAACTGATGACGCTTTCAATCCTAGAATCTTAGTACCAATGAGCCTTCGTATCCTAAACCTTAGCCTCATCCCTTCTTTGGATCTAGAACCTTGACACTGTTGATCCATCCAGTTTGAGAACTGTGGCACTGTTGGCCCCTGGAATTCTGTAATCTTAGCATCTAGAACCTCAACACCATTGACCCTCCCAGTCTTAGAATCTTATAACTCTCAGGCCTTTGAATGCTAACACATCCTATCCTTGTGGCCAGGGGATAAAATACGGTGATTAGCCATAACTGGGCCACCTACCCATTCCCGGGAAAAGGGACTTGGCCACACTCAAGCCACATGTTGGAGAGTGAAGAGGGTGGGTGGTTCCTCAAACAGAATCAGGATACTGTCACCAGAAGAAAGGGAAGGCAGCAGCTATCAACATCACCCTCCTAGATCCCATGTGGGAATACGTGTTAATGACACTGTCACACCATCCATGAGAGATGGAGGCGTAGTCTGAAAAGCTTCCTGGAATGGTGGGGCATGAGTTAAGTTCAATTTGTAGGGAGATGGTGCTTCTGGCTGAGAAGATGCCACGAGCAAAAGCCTCGTGTGTGTGTGAGTGGTGGGGAGGAGTGGGGAGGGTGAAGATATTGCACAGGCCAGATGCAAGAGTGTAGAAGCAGAGAGTGAGGGCTGGACTGGGGCAGCCTCCAAGGCCAGGTGAGGCACTAGGGACAAAGAGCAGTGGTGGAAGGAAGCTTCTGTCTGGTGGAGCTGATCATGAGTGAGATCTTGCGTGCCAGATCATCACGCCTGGACTTGACCCCTACAAGTCTTGCCTGGACACCATCCATCAGGGAGCTGACTCAGAGAGCTGGAGCCAGGGGAGCAACAATTCCAGAGACTTCCTTTGAGGGATGAGCAAAGCTGGGCCCTAGAGAGGAAGGGAGTGGCCCAGGGTCACAAACACAGCGGATGTGAGGGGACGGGGATGGGGAAGAGTTTGATTGCCCAGCCTCAGCTCTCACAGACCTCCCTATCTCTCACCTCCCCCCCAGAGAGGTCCTAGGGCTGGTGGACGTGGTTGCCCTGGAGAACGGAGAGCTGGGACCCCTTCTGTCCCCCGGCACCCTGCGGGGTTTGGAGGATGAATGTGTCACCGACGTTAAGGTATCTGGGACTTGGCATTGAGGATTAGGGAGCAGGAGGCACTCTGCAGGGAGGGAGGGGACACAGTGGGCTTGGGGGGCCTCTCCTCTCCCCCTTTCGCTATTTCCATTTCCCTTTTCCCTTTATGGACTTCTAAGTTCAGTCCAAAAGACGCAGAAATGTAAGCCCATGCTACTCACTTCTGTCTTATGGTCAGTGTTGTATCACAAGCACCCAGCGGGGCATAGGGACACTCAGTAAGGTTCAGGTCATTCAGACACTTCTAGTCTTAGAGCAAGAGAGTCACAGAACCTCAGCTCACAGACCCGAAGACTCACAGAAGGAGGGCATCAAGACATCTCAGTGTATAAGCAGGGCTGATGGTTCATAACCAACCGGGCACAGGCGCCGCTGAGCAGAACGGCCCAACCGTAGACACCCAGCCCGGCTACAGGGGTGTTTCCTGCCTGAACGCCAGTCCTGCCCCAGCCACAGAAACCAGAATCTTTGCAACTTGAGAGCCTAGACTCTGAGACTCGAACGTGTCTAAATTCTCAGACTCACTGAAATTGAGGATAACTTGGACCAGAGAATCAGAGATATGTAAACCTTAGCATCCCAGACCCTTGGAATTCTTGAATCACAGAATCTGACTGTCTTGAATGATTGTTTTGCAGAATTTGAGAGCAGAGTCTTAGGGCCATCAGCTCATGAGAGAATAGACCCTTAAACCCTCTGGCTATTAGATGAAGCAGGCTTACAACCACAGACTCCTTCCAATCGCAGACTTAGGGATGGAAAGGGCTGGGGCGGTTTCCTGGTCCAGCCTCCCTCTGCAGCATAACCTTGAGGAGTTCATGGGTAGAATCCACACCTGCTTGGAGCTCAGAGGCGGGGATCATGGTGGGAGAAAGGCGGGAGAGGCTCCCAGCAGCCCCCGACTCCTGCCTCTCCCCGCACCTCCCCGCTCCAGGCTCAGACACGGACAGCCCTTCTTCGAGTGTTGCAGGAGGATGAGGAGCGCTGGGGGAGCCCGGAGGACCGGCCCAGCAGCCTGGCACAGGACGTGTGTGAGGTAGGGGGTGGGGGAAAAGGCAGGAGGAGCAGCTGGGGGGTGCCAGGGTGGGAAAGCGGGACCTCGCCCCTCCTCACCCCTTCTCGCCCCCTGACCACGCAGCTGTTGGAAGAGCACACGGAGCAAGCACCTCGCATCAGCCAGGAGTTCGGGGAACGGATGGCCCACTGCTGCCTGGGGGGGCTGGCAGAGTTCCTGCAGAGGTAGGAGGGCTGGGGGCAGGGCGCGCGCGCCGGAGGCGGGGGTCAGGATGCGGGATCCAACAGAGAGAGGAGAGATGAAAGGAAATCAAGTCAGGAGGGGCAGGGGGGCCTCAGTGGGGGTCCCAGGCTTCGCTGGGCTGAGCGCCCAGCGAGGGACCCTTACCCAGCACGTCTCCATCTGTCATGTCCTCCTCCACACCCCCTCCCACCAGCTTCCAGCAGCGCGCAGAGCGATTCCACGAGAATCCAGGGCTCCGGGAGCTGCCACGTGACGCCTACATCAGCAGGACCATCTCGCTGGTCAATTGCGGGCCCCCCCTGAGGTGAGAGCACCCACAGCGTGTGGGGGAGACGGCTAGCCCGGGGGACAAGCTGAACTGGGGCGCTCGGATCCTGGGGGGGGGACCACAGAGCTGCCCTCCCAGAGAGACGTGTCCACGGGACCTTAGAAGCATAAAACCTGGGAGTCCTAAAAAGCCTCACATCACAGAGCATCACCGAGCACCAGAATTAGAGCAATCAGAGGCTCGGAGTGTTAGAATTGTGAGAACTGAGCAGTCAGACTCAAACACTCTAACAATTCCAGATTCTTTTTTTTGCCTCATCTTACCTTCTTTTTTATTAACTGATTTTTAATGCATTTTAAACATGGGCAATGCAGTCACCTAATTGAAAATTCAGGATACAAATTTCAAATATATTTAACTAGGTGCATACCTATTATTCCTTTTCCTTTTTGAAAAAAATACAAATGGTGGAATATTGGACACACTTCTGCCCTTTCCCCTTCACAGCTCGGAGGTCTTTCTGAGAGCGCGTGGGGAGTCCCCACATTCCTTTGTAATATCTGAACTGTATTCCACTGTCAGATGCGCCATCGTTTGTGGAATTTGTGCCTAATGGATAGATCGTTGACTCCGCCCTTTTGCAGAGAGGAACCTGGCACCTCTGTCAACTCCCACAAGTGTGGGGACTCTGAGGGATGCCTTCCCAGAGGGGGACCTGCTGGAATCGAGACAGAAAGAGCCCAATTGTGCTTAGACCATGTTCCTCTCCTTTTAGTGATGGAGGGTCATCTCTGTTACAGTGACAGAAAATGAGAAGGGTAGCATTTTAGAATTACAGTAGAGATGTTTAGAATCACATTCCACAGAGCCTCCACATCCCCCAGCCTCCCAGACATCCCCCGATATTTCTCATCCCCCAGGCCCTCCCCAGCTCCCCCATCTGGCCTGTCACCCCGGTGCCCCAAAATACAGCGTCCATCTAAGGAGGGAGAGAGGTCCAGGCAGTTGGGCTGAATGTTGGGGCTCCCTGACTTTTGGCTGCACTGATCCCCACAGGGCTCTGGCGGAGCGCCTGGCCCGGGTGGGGCCCCCCGAAAGTGAGCCGGCCCGGGAGGCAGCGGCCAGCGCTCTGGACCGTGTGACCCGGCTCTGCCACGGTGTCCTGGCCGACCTGCTGTTCCAGGAGCTGCAGGTGAGTGAGGCAGGGGGCTGGGGTGGGGCCTGTGCAGGACAGGGGACAGGGGAGCGCCCCTGCATCCCGCAGTTCCTTTCAGCCCGTGAGTCAGTGTTCGGGAAGCAGGCGGGGGTGGGGGGTGATGGCTATGTCTGGGCTGTTTGGGGGGCAGAGGTGTGTGCAGGAAGGAAGAGGTGGGAGGATATGGGGGGGAGAGCCACCAGCAGGAGGGGGCCTGGGGAATGGGTGGAGCCCCTCCCCACTGAGATCCTCCAAATTTCTGCCCAGCCTCTCCTAGGCCCTAGACCCCCCTCACCCATCTATAGGCTCCTGTGCACGCCCAGCGGGGGTTGAGTTCAGAGGTGGATGAGAGCATGTGGGGAGGGTGGTGGGAGTACTGGGGAATGAGACTGGGAGGTGTGTGTGTTCCTGGTTGTAATGCATGCCCAGTCCACATTGTACATCAGATCCTGTCCCTCCTCTGCTCAGAACCCTCCATGGCTCCCAGTTCCCTCAGATCAGGAGCCAAAGTCTTTGCCTTGGCCCCCAGGGCCCTTCTTGATCATTGACCCATTCCCTCTCTGACTCATCTCCTCCCACTTTCCCCCTCGCTGCTCCACTCCAGCCACACAGCCCCCTTGCTGCTCCTTAACATGACAGACATGGTCCAGCCACAGTACCTTTGCACCTGCTGTTCCCTCTTCTCTGCAATAGCCACATAGCTCCCTCTCTAAAGTCTTGAGTCAAATGTCACCTTGTCAGTGAGACCTTCCCTGACTGTCCTATTTAAAACAGAAGCCCCGTTCCCCCATCCCCGCTCTCTTTGTCTCCACAGCACTTACAGCCACTTGCCATGCTATCTCCTTTGTTGTTGGTGGTTTTTTTAAATCGTCTCCTCCCACCAGAATGTTAGCTCCTCAAGGACAGGGATCTGTTGGAATGTTTCTAAAATAGCTTTTTATTATGGAAAATTTCAAACAAACACAAAAGTAGGCAGAATGACAGAATGACCTCTTGGGGACCAGCTACAGTGAGTATAGACTCCTGGCCAATCTGATTTCATCTCCCCCCGCCCTCCTGCCCACGGGATTATTTTGAAACAGATCCTTGACATCTGATCATCATCCATCAACATTCCAGCCTGCATCTCCAAAAGATAAGGATCCTTTTTAAACAAACATAACCGCAATGCCCTTTTCATACCTAACAAACAGAACAATAATTCCTTAATATCGTCCAATATCAGATCAGTGTTCAGATTCCCCCACCTGCTTATGATTATCAGGTGCTTGGAGTTTTATTTATCTCATTTTGGTGTGTCCGCAAGCGTTGTCTCATGTGTTCCTAGTGAGCCACCCAGGGCTGGGCTCAGAGAGTGTTTGTTGAGTGACTAAATGCACAAGTAAGTGAATGAAAGTGAGCGAGTGTGGGGAGGTGAATGTGGGGGTGCTGGGAAGGGGGTACAGTCTTTGTTCCAGGCCTGGCTGCACCACTTCCAGGTAGGGGGACCTTGGGCAACTTGGTCATCCTTGTGGGGTCTCTGTTTACTCATCTGGAAAATGGGCACAGAAATTCCAGGCTTCTCAGGTGGCTGTGAGGAAGCAATGAGACTGGCCATCAAGGGCTTAGCTCGGGTCCTGGCCGGCGGGTATTGGCCATCGTTATCTTCACAAATGCACAGACTTGATAGCAACACGTCCTGAGCCAGGCTCTGGACCAAGAGCCTCAGCTCACTGAATTCCCACCTGCTTCTCAACAGAAGCCCACAGGCCCCATTTTTGTGGGTTCAGAAAACTGGGCTGCTGTCGGGATGAGAGAGCAGGAAGGGGAGTTGAGGCCGAGTGGGATAGGGAGCTGCTTCAGAGCCCCCCTGGACGCCGACCCCCAATGTCTCCGGCACCTAAAGCTCCCAGTGTCCATCCAGACTGCGGCATCTCCCTCTCCCTCCCCCCAGCCTCCATCTCAGGGACAGACCCGCTGCCCAGCCACCTCCAGGATCTCTTCTGAAGCCTCCCTCCCCTCCCCGCACAGGTGGTGCCTCACTGCATCCTAGGAATTCTGCCACCTGTGTTCTCCTTCCCCCTGCTCAGCCCCCTTCCCCTCCTTCCAGCCTCCCCACCCTGATTTCTGCCTGTGTCTTGCCCCCTCCCATCAATCTTGACAGAGCACAAACCTGACCCTCTCCCTCTCCTGCTCAGGACCTGCCACGGCTCCCCAGTGCCCTCGGGAGTAAGTGGGGGCTCCTCACACCGCCCAGGAGGCCCTGTGCACTCTACTCCACCCACCTGACTAGCTCCATCTCTCCACTGGGCTGTCACACAGGGCCTCCTGCTTAGAAGGGCCACAGCTTGGTTTAATGCTCTGCTGTCTCTGTCTTGAAGTTCTTAATAATTTTTTGAATAAGGGTCCCCCATTTTCATTTGCACTGCAGCCCGAGAATTACTTGGGTGTTTTTGCCAGCCACATTGACCTTCTTTGTGGTCCTCTGATCGGCAGGACCCTCTGAAATCTAAACCTTCTTCACGCTGGTTCTTCCCTCCGAATGAGTCACTCTGTCTCCCATCCCTCACCTGGTTAACAATGACCATCATTGGGGCCTCAGCTCTGGTGTCTCCTCCTCCAGGAAGCCCTCCTCGACTCTCTGTGCTGATCCAGGCATCCCCTCTGTGCTCGTCCCTGGGCTCCCTCCCCCCAGCCCTGCCCACTCTGGGTGGTCACTTTCTGGGGTGGGGTCTGTCTCCCCTCCTGGACTGTGAGCCCCAGGAGGGCAGGGTCGGGCTGTCTCCATCACAGCTGTGTCCGCAGCACCGCGCAGCCCTGGTTCAGCTGCATGTTTCGGGAACATGTGTTGAATTGGTAAGTGAAGAAAGAGTGTGGAAGGGAAGAGAGCTATAACCCTCCCCGCTCTGTCCCCCAGCCCCACTTCAACAAGCTGATGCGCAGGAAGTGGCTGAGCAGCCCGGAGGCCCTGGAAGGCATCGTGGGCACGCTGGGCGCTCAGGCCCTGGCGCTGCGCCGGATGCAGGACGAGCCCTACCAGGTGCGCCTGCGCGGGGTGGGGGTGGGGGATTGCCGCAGGGGAGGGGGGAGCAGGAGCGCTCCGCTGGCGGAGACCCCTTCAAGGTGGGGAGCAGCTCTCTCAGGGTGAGATGGGTGGCGCTCTGCCTGGGGTCTTGGTGAGGCGTGCCCGCGGTACTGGGGGGTAGGGCCGGGTACAGACTGGGTTGGGGCCTCTGGGCGGTGGAGCTGCAGAGAATGGGGAGAGGTCTGGGATCGGGCATCTTTTGGGGGCCGCTAGGGGGTGTCCGCGGGCTGGCGGTATCATCAGGCAGGACAGGGGTCGCCCCTTGGGAGCTGGGTCGGGCGGAAGGCTCCACGCTGGGTGCCGGGGTGGGCGCGGGTGGGCAGGGAGCCGGGAGCGGGGCCCAGCGGCTCACCCCCCCTCGCGTCTCCCCGGTCCCCAGGCGCTGGTGGCCGAGCTGCACCGGCGGGCGCTGGTCGAGTACGTGCGGCCCCTGCTCCGCGGGCGCCTGCGCTGCCGCTCGGCGCGGACCCGCAGCCGCGTGGCCGGGAGGCTCCGGGAGGACGCGGCTCAGCTCCAGAGGCTGTTCAGGCGGCTGGTCAGTGCGGCCAGGGGGGCGGGGAGCTCCAGGACCCGGGAAAACAGCCGGGGCAGGGCCTTAGAATAAGACCATCACTCAACTTTCAAGCAGTAGGAACACTCTGATCCTTGCCCCGCGCGCGTAAAAATCGGCTTTCTCACGGTGACGCTCGCCTCTGTGCGCGAATGCGGAGGCTCAGGGTCCCTGTGCATTGTTGTGGGAGCCGATCAGTTAAGTCCACTTAAGTGCTTAGGACCCTTTCTGGCCCAGAGACAACACTCCAGAAACATGAGCTATTATGTGAGCCCAGATAGAAGGGAAACGCAACAGAAACAGCGTTCCCAAATCCAAGAATCTAAAATCACCTACTCTTATTTGTACCCAGTTGTAATCAGCAGGACCGGAAGGGCCTCACTCAGCCGCTATTTCAGGACTTTCTAGCCTGGAGTCCTTGAAATGTTTTGTTTTTTTGTTTTTTTTGGAAATTTTGTTAAGAATGCAAATGGATCGCATGTACTTCTTACCCAGTTTCCTCCAGTGGTAACATTTTGCAAACTTGGCTAGGTCCTAAGGGGTGTCTCTGAGCCCCAAATTATCTGTAAAACTGGGAGTGGATTATATTATGGATTTTTCTTCAAATTTCCAAAAGTTCCAGATAACCTCTGACGATAGTCTGTCCTCTGCCCGGTTTTACAGATGGGAACACTGAGGCCGGGAGGGGTCGCCCTTGGAAGGGTGTGGTTTGTGGGGTGGGCATTGGGGGGAAAGTGTGAGCCGGGGCCCTCTCCCGCAGGAGTCCCAGGCCTCGTGGCTGGACGCCGTGGTGCCCCATTTGGCCGAAGTCCTACAGCTGGAAGACACGCCCAGCATTCAGGTGGAAGTGGGGGTGCTGGTGCGGGACTACCCAGACATCAGGTGAGAGCACCCCCCAACACCCGGCCTCCCCCCCCCCACGCCCTCCCCCGCCGCGGGCCTTGGCATCCGTCCCTGCGTTTCCTGCCTCTTGGGCGAGGGAGAGAGGCGGTGAGCGTGTCTGACGGCCGTTTCCTGCTGGAACCAGGGCATTATTAATACGATTTCCCTCCTTCTCCTGCCGCCGCCGTCGCTGCCGGCCGCCGCCGCCGCCACCAGGGCTCGCAAACAAACAGGCAGTCACAGGAAGCCCGGGGCAGGGGGGCGCCGGGCCGCCCGGCGGCAGGAAGGGCCGGCCCAGCAGGGGAGCCGCGGGGGACACGGGGACACGCATGGGCACACAGGCGCACATGCACTGGGACAGCGGCAGGCGCCCTTCCGATCATGGTGGGCCATTTCCTTTCTCAGTGAACCACTCTGAACCTCAGTCTCCTCATCTGTTCCATGAGGGAATGATAGTATTCTTCTCATCCGATCATTGGGCAATTCTTCGTTATCGTTATCATTATCATTATCATCAATGATGACAACAGTACAATGCCAGTTCTTGCTTATCAAGTCCTTAGCTCAGACCTAGGAAAGTGCCTTACACACTCACTCTATAAGTAAGGCCTATAATAAAAGTTATTTTAGAAAATATTTGCAAGTAAAGGGGAGTGCTGTTCGAAGCGTCTGGCATAATCTGGGGCAGGCAGAAATTAAGTAGCTTACCCCAGATGTCACAGCTAGCAAGTGGCAAAGCTGGGACTTGAACCCCGGCAGCTGGTTGGCCCTAAAGCGGTGCACCTGAAGACCACCCCCCACTGCCACCTGTAAATACCGATGGTGATGGCAGTGATGCAGTGCTATCTGGACAGACATTCTGTACCCAAAGAGACAGAACCCCACATGACCAGGAAGTGAGGCATCAGTGGGGTGTAAGTTCCAGGGTTGAGGGCGAGAGGTTGAGGGTGAGGATTCTGGAATTGATTCAGGATGGACAGCTCTGGTTCTAGGGTGTGGGGTGCCTGTCCCTGGAAAGGCACAGACCCTGTAGTCCCGTGGGAGTGTGTGTGTGTGGGGGGATGGGGGGTGGGGGGTGGAATGCCAGCATTCCTGCTGGATTGGGGTTTCTGAACTTGAACCAAAGCTCAGTTGGAAGCTCAAGGTGGGCTGGGAGGAGCAGTTCCAAGGCTGAGTTTGCGGCCGTGTTTTGGAGCTTGGTTGAGCTGGAAGGTTCTTGAGTCCCATTTTAGATGAGTGTCTTGGAGCTGTGGGGATTCCATCTGGGATGTGGGAAGGTGAAGATACTGAGCTGGCTTGGAGGGAGTGGTGAAGGCCCCAGAGCTGTGTTTGAAAGTTCTGGAAAGGAATGTTGGGTTCAGGATCTTGTGTTGAAATATGGTGGTGGTTCTGAAGTTGAGTTTGGGGTCTGCCATCTTGAGCTGAGGTGAGGTGAAGTTTCCATTCTGTTGGATTTAGGGGCAAGCATTGTAGAGTAGAGTTGGTTTTGAGCACAAAGGTTCTAGTTGGAGGGAGGGTCCCCAAGGTGAGTTCTAGTTCTGGAGTAGAATTTTGATTGAGCACGATTCTGGGAATGGGTTGTTGGGGGGGGGGGTTGAAGTGAATGAGTGTTCCGAGGCCGAATTTGGGGGTGAAGGTTCTAGAATGGGATCTAGACTGAGCAATCGTGAGTTGAGTTTTACATGAGGACACTGGCACCGCAGTGGCAGAAAAACTTCCAGACCTGGCCTTGGGGTGAGGAGAGGGTTAGGATGGGAACGTGGGTGAACACCTCTGGGCTAGATCTGAGTGGAGCTGTTAGAGATGAAAGTGAAGGTGAAGTTAAGGGTTGCTGTATTCCAGAGCTTGAACAGGTGTGAGGGGCCCAGAATGGAAATTTAGGAGCTGTCTAAGGTTGGGAGTAAAGATTGATGGTTATTTTAATCAGGAGCGAGACCGGGGTGAAAAGGAAAACTCGTGTGCTGAGTTTGGAGCTGAAGGTTCTGAAACTGATGGTGGTGGTCAGAAGTGGTCAGAAGCGAAATTCTGGAGGGGGGCTCGTATGGGGGGAGGGACTTGGGGGGCTGGTGTGAAGGGAGACATCTGGAGGGGAGCCTGGTGCAAGATGCGCATGTGGAGGGGGCTGATAGGAAGGGAGGGATCTAGGGGGGCTGGTGAGGGGGAGGACTTTGAGGGGGACTGGTATGGAGGAGGGATGTGGGGGGGGGTGCAAGGGGCCTCCAGAGCTCAGGCAGGTTCTGGGGCGGATGAGGGTCAGGTGGGGTCCACATGGGGGCTGGGTGTGCATGTGGAGCAGGGAACCCCCCGTGCACCTGTTCCTTCCTCTACCCCAGGCGGAAGCACGTGGCGGCCCTTCTGGACATCCGTGGCCTTCGCAACACAGCCGCCCGCCACGAGATCCTGGCCGTGGCCCGGGACCTGGAACTGTCTGAAGGGGGAACCTTGTCACCCCCCCGGGACCGGGCCTTCTTCTCAGATATCCCCGTGCCCCGCCCGCCCTTCTGCCTCAGCCTCCCTCTCTTCCTGGGCCGTCTGCCCCTCTCCCGGCTGGCCAGGCCCAATTTGGCCTGTCTGCGCAGGCCCCGGCCTCCCTCCCCATCACGGCCTCGGGCCCAACGCTGAGACTCTCCCAGGTCCCCGCCTCAGTGCCCCGCGTCTTTGCTGCTGACAAACCATCCTCCTGTAGGGCCCCCTCCTGACTCCCTGCCTGGGACCACCACAGACCCCCGGGATGAAAAGATCCTTAGAGGTCCTCTCCACCACCCCAGACTCCCTGTGCAGAAGGGAAACAGAGGCCGGAGGGAGCAAGGACTTTCCCAAGGCCACGAAGCTCGTCCCTAGCACCACCTCCCAGCCCAGCATGTGGTGGGTGGTGTTTCGGAAGACTCTACAGAAATATCCCAGGCCCCCCCTTCCCCTCACCTCAAGGTCTGGCCCCAATCCAATGTATTAAAGAATGTACGATACTTAGAATAAAGAGGTTTCTATTTAACACAAGGAAGGGCTGAGTCCCGTGTGTGGGGGAGGAAGGAGCAGGGGCAGGGCCCGGGGCCAACGGCTTCTCACACGCCCAAGGCCGGGCTAGGGTCCAACTCTTGGGCTGGGCAGTGGAGGGCCCTGCAGGGCCAGGGCGAGCCCAGCCGCTCCGTTTACACCGAGTCCCCAGGCTGCATGGCTCCACGGCAGGCCCTTGGCTGCTCTGAGCCAAGGTCCCTCATTTTGTCAATCCCAAAGCTCCTGTCCGTTTGCTGGGCCTGGCAATTCCACCTTGGCACGCCCTTCCCATCCATCCTTAGCCGGGAAGCTGTGTCAAGAAAGGAAGGAGGTGGGGGGCAGGGCCAGCAGCATCCAGGGCACCCTCCTGGGTTGACGCAGGAAAATCTCAGGGTGGGAAAAATTCCAGCTCCTCACCCCCAGCCCCGCCGGATCCTGGTCCCCATGGAGACCTTGAGGTCATCTCCCTGCTGACCCCTGCCCCTCCGGCCCGGTTGGACAGCCTATGATGGATGCTTCCTGGCATGGTTTTTTTTCCTGATAAGTCGGAAGGAGGAGGCAGCCAGGGGTCAGCCTTGGGGCTGGGGTTGGAACCTCATGCACGCACATTTGAACTCTGCAAGGTGGCGATTCAGGACTCTTGGAGCCCCGGGGCTGTGTGACCCCGGGCAGGAAGCTGACCCTCTCTGGGCTGTGGTTCCTCTTCCTCTCTGGGGAATTGCTTAACCTCTCTTTGCCCAGGACAAGGTGAGAAGTCCAGAGGATGTACCCTTCTCACTTCAACACCCCAAATGACACTTTCAATGTCATTGATATACAAGAGAGGAGTTGGGGAATGAACGTGTCGTGGTTTGTAGGCGTTTAATTCAAGATGTGGTGTATATACACAATGGAATACTACTCAGCCATAAGAAACGATGAAATCCAGCCATTCATGACAACACGGATGGACATTGAGGGTATTATGCAAAGTGAAATAAGTCAGAGGGAGAAGGTCAAATACCGTATGATTTCCTTCATTAAGTAGTAGATAATAACAACAACAAACAAACACATAGAGACAGAGATTGGATTGGTGGTTACCAGAGGGGAAGGGGGGAGGGAGGAGGGTGAAAGGGATAATTCGGCACATGTGTGGGGTGATGGGTTGTAATTAGTATTTGGGTGGTGAACAGGATGTAATCTATGCAGAAATAGAAGTATAATGATGTACACCTGAAATTTATACAATGTTATAAACCAATGTTACTGCAATAAACAAAAAATTAAAAAAAAAAAAAGATGTGTTAATCTCAGGTTGGCAATGTCCTTTACAGATTTTAGTGCCTTACGTAAAAACAGCTTTATTGAAACATAATTTACATACCAGATGATTGACCCATTTAAAGTGTGCAATTCAGTCACTGTTCATATAGTCACAGAGCTGTGCAACCATCACCACAATCAATTTTAGAACATTTTCGTCCTCCCAAAAAGAAACCTTGAACCCCTTAGTCATCACCCCCAAACCCTCTATCCCCCTCAGGCCCTGGTGACCACTAGTCTACTTTTTATTTCTGTAGATTTGCCTATTCTGGATATTTCATTTAAATGGGGTCACAGAATATGTGGTCTCGTGTGTGTGTGTGTGTGTGTGTGTGGCAAGAACACTTAACATGAGATCTACCCTCCTAACACATTTTTAAGCACACAATACAGTATTATTAACTACAGGCATGATGATGCACAGCAGATCTCTAGAACTTACTCATCTTGTATAACTGCAACTTTGTACCCATCTAACAACTCCCCATCCACCCCTCATCCCCTGGAACCACTATTCTATCCTCTGCTTCTACGAGTTTGACTATTTTAGATAACTCATCTAAGTGAACTCGTGCAGAATATGTCCTTCTGTGACTGGCTGATTTCATTTAGCATAATGTCTTCCAGGTCCATCCACATTATTGCAAATGGTAGGATTTCCTTCCTTTTTCAAGGCTGAATAATATTCCATTGTATGGATGTACCACATTTCTTTATCCCGTCATCTGTTGATGGACATTTGGGTTGTTTCTATATGTCGGCTATTGTGAATAAATACGTGGTCTTTTGTGTACAGCTTCTTTCACTCAGTATAATGTTTTCAAGGTTCATCCACGTTGTAGCACGTGTCAGTACTTCATTCCTTTTTATTGTTGAATAATATTCCACTGTATGGATGTCCCACATTTTATTTATCCGTGCATCAATGGATGGACATTTAGATTGTTTTTACTTTTTGGTTATCATGAATATTATGCTCCATTTTTTTCTAGATTGCAAACATTTTCTTGGTCCCCCAAGAAGCTCTGACCTTACTCTGAGCCTCAGTTTCCACTTTGTAAAATAAGGGAAAGGGTCCTAACGGCTGCATTAATTTAGCGCCAACTGCATGCCAAGTACCGAGCTCCCAAGGATTCACTCAGTGCCCCTTCTCAACAAACTTGCAGACTTGGAAACAGAGGCCCAGATGGGGGAAGGAATGCCACCAAAGTCACCAACCAACAAGTGCTGGGGGCAGGACCACTCCAGGCTCTTACAGCAGCCACCGCTCAGAGCAAGCGGGCTGGGAGGGCTCAGCAAGGAGGCGATGTGAGGCGCTCGTCATAGGTCCCGACCCACGGGAAGAGCTTGGAAAACGTTAGCTGTTTGGACTCAGAGGGAGGTGACTTCAAATCCCAACCGCTTTTCTGGCTGCGGGAGTGGGGCGGGGTTACAGCTGTTTATCGGGCGTCTGTTCTGTGTGAGGTGCTTCCTGAGTGGGTCCTACATGCACAGTATCTCATAGCACTGTCCCCCGGGGCCCTGGGAAGAGGGACTGTTCATCTCAGGCGGGAAGCTGGCTCGGAAGATTAAGCATCAGCTGAGGGACAGTATGTTAGAGGCAGTGGCCGGGAATCGAACCCCAATCAGATAGACCCCAAGAGCTCTCAGCCGCTGCCTACCCGGTGGCATCTATACTGAACACGTATACTATTTTCCCTGTCATTATTCCATAAATAAAATAGTAAAACAACTATTTGCATAGCATTTGCCTTGTATCAGGTATTACAAGTAATCGAGAGATGATTTAAAGTAGACGGGAGGATGTGTGTTAGATGATATGCAAATACTATGCCATTTTATATAAGGGACTTGAACATCCTCGGATTTCAATATCCGAGGGGGGGGGGTCCTGGAACCAATCCCCCGAGAATACCGAGGGACTGTTGTAATCGGAATCACACATTATAACTACTTCCGTTTCTGTCTTCTTTCGAGCAACGTTGTATTCGTTAGATTCATCCACGTTGTGCAAAGCAGCCGTGTGCCCGTTCTCCTTACCCTGCAGGATCCCATTGGAGCAAGTGGCCAGAATTTATTGATCCATTCTGTTGTTGATGGAGGTTTGAGTTATTTCCAGTTTGGTGCCAGACAGGGGGTGTTCCACATCGACCAACACTTGGTATTGTCAGTATTTATTTTATTTTATTAATTAATTAATTAATTAACTGAGGAAGATTGGCCCTGCACTAACATCTGTTGCCAATCTTCCTCTTTTTTCTTTTTTCTCCCCAAAGCCCCAGTACATAGCTGTGTATCATAGTTGTAGAGTTGTAGCTCTTTTATATGGAATGCTGCCTCAGCATGGCTTGATGAGCGGTAAGTACATTCGAGCCCAGGATCCGAACCTGAGAACCTCGGGCAGCCGAAGTGGAACACGCAAACTCAACCGATGCGTCACCGGCTGGGCCCTCTCAGTCTTTTTAATTTTAGCTGTTCTAGTGGGTGTGTAGTGGTATTTCACTGTGGTTTTGTTTCCCTAATGTTTAAAAATATTGAACATCTTTTCATGAGCTTATTAGCCATTCATATGTCTTCTTTGGTTAAGTGTTTAAGGCTTTTGCCTATTTTTTGTTGGGTTGTTTGTCTTTTAATTAATTATTGAGTTCTTTGTATATCCTAGAGACAAGTTCTTCATAAAATATATGTATTGCAAATATTTTCTTCAGTTTTTCGCTTGATTTTTAATTCTTCTGATGTTGCCTTTTGAAGAGCAGAAGTTTTAAATTTTAACGAAATCCAATTTATTGATTTTTTTTTCTTTTAGGATTAATGCTTTTTGTGTCCTAAGAAATCTTTGCCTTTCCTAAGTGTGCAAATATTTTCTCCTACGGTTTCTTCTAGATGTTTTATAAAGTTTAGCTTTTACATTTAGGTCTAGGCTCCATTTTGAGTTGATTTTTTTCTGTGTGTGTGTGAGGAAGATTAGCCCTGAGCTAACATCTGTTGCCAACCCTCCTCTTTTTGTTGAGGAAGACTGGCCCTGGGCTAACATCCATGCCCGTCTTCCTCTATTATATATGGGACACCTGCCACAGCATGGCTTGACAAGCGGTGCATATGTCTGAGCCCAGGATCCGAACCCATGAACCCCGGGCCGCTGAAGCAGAGCACACGAACTTAACCACTACACCACCAGGCTGGCCTCCATTTTGAGTTGATCTTTGTGCATGGTGTAAGGTAGGGGTTCAAGTTAATTTTTTCTGATGTAGCTATCACATTGAATTACACTGATACCTTTGTAGAAGATCAGTGACCTTATACGTGTGGGTCTGTTTCTGGACTCTGTATTCTGTCCCACTGATCTATATTTACGCCTACACCAATATCACACTATCTTGATTAGTGTAACTTTATAGTAAACCTTAAAATCAGCAAGTTCTCCAATTTTGTTCTCCTTTTACAAAATTACATCAATTCTAAATCCTTAATTTTTCCACACACATTTTAGAATCAAATGGTTAATTTCTACAGAAAACATTTGCTGGGATTTTGATTGGGATTTCATTGTGTCTGATAAATTTGGGGAAAGTTGACTTCTTAACATTACTGAGTCTTCTGATCCAAGAATAAGGTATAACTGTCGATTTATTTAGATTGTCTTTAATTTCTCTTTGCAATATTTTGTAACTTTTAGTGTACAAGTCTTCCATAAATTT